GTTTTTGCAAGTTTTTCACACGTTTACCTGCGTCATGCATAGGGGAGTATATTCACTTGAAAAGGCTACTCTATGTGCAACAAGCACACCAAAAAAGCTCATGTGTTAAATTTAGGCATTGAGCCAGGTGCATTTGGCCACATGACAAACCTGGCATAATTAAGAATTATTGACACCGCAAGCACGTTGCAAATTTTGCTGTGTTTCTGAAAATTCTGCCCGCGTTTTCATAGCTGTGTAATGTGAATGCAGCTTTAAGGTTGCCCATGTGCTTTTAAGGTGACCATACATGATTAGATTTTCTTTTGAATGTTTGTAGGGAAATTGTTTGTCAAAACATTCTTTCTTGCCATCATGAAATCAACTAATTTTGTTCAAAACCCCTTAAAATTTCATCCAGATCCGCTATTTGAAAGGAATTCCAGATGTATTACGCTAGGTTCACACCTATGCAGTTTGCGTTTGATCCGCAAAAAAAAAAAGCCGCAAAATGCATCAAAAACGCACAGCAAAAAGCACTGCAGAACCGTTTCTGCAGTGCTTTTTCTGTGCGTTTGACGCGTTTTTGATGCATTTTGAGGCTTTTTTTTTTTTTTTTTTTTTTTTTTTTTTAGCACACTACATGCTTTTCTTCAGCCTCCATTTAAAAATGTTCATGACCCTTTCCAAAAAATGCATTGTCATAAAAGAATACCAATCTGACCCCATTAACTATTAAAAAATCGAATGGATGTTCTGAAAATTTACATTTTCAAACAAAATTCCACTGATGAATAGAGCCCCTGCTCTTCAGAATGTCATCCCTGAATCAAGGACAAGTATTTTCGCTAGTAAATCAATAAAAACGTTCCTTTTCTTTATTTCATGTATTAGTCATGATGATACAATGGTCAGCAATGTCAAAGTCAGCAATGACACAGCATGCTCCTCTCCCCACCAACCTCAAAGTAGATCGGTAAAAGACAAATGATTCAGTGCCCGTTAGGAAATAATATGTACATTGGAAGCTCTCTCAACTTCAGAAACCATAGATAAATTTCAGGAACCCCATAGAGTATAATTAGGGATATAAATAGCCCTGGCATTACTATTTATAGAAAGGGTTCTTCTGTAACAGAGGGGCTGCAAATATAGAATGACTTAACATACTATAGATAATAGTTATCTGAAACATCCACCCCCACTATAGATCAGGTTAAAGGAAAAGGATCATGTATTTCTAATGAGAACATATCTTTAAGCGGATTTTAATTTTGTTTTGCCCCACCCTCACCCACCCACTTACTTAACAAAATTGCTGAAAAAATGTTTTTGTTAAGCTCAAATACTTTTTGTTTTCCTTTCTTATGTAGCGCACCCTTTAAAGAGCCACTGGTGAATTTGGGCTTATTTCTCCCCTAGAGCACATACAGCCAGGCACACAACATTTTCAGCATTCCTCCTCTGGCTTAAGACTCAGTCTAAGGATTTCTTATTTTGGGTTTTACTGGGTAATGATGAACTTGGATGGGGATAGGGAGCATGGGATACCCCAGAATTGTGAAAAAACTTGATCAACTTCAGGACTGCTAAATATCTTGCTGCTCAGCACAACTCTTGAAGGCCTGGCACAACTTGCAGACATGTACAAATCCCGGCTGTATTGTACAACTTCTGGCTGCACCAGTTCCATAGAATCCCCAGCTGCTGCTGTGACCTGTACTTCACTTACAGTCCCAAGCAGCAGTGTATTTTGGTTTCGTGCAAGAGTAAAATGTGGTGCCCCCCCACCAAATCGGAACCAGTAATGGCATAGTGATGGATGGGGGGGGGGGGGCGGTGGAAGAGAGAGGGAGTTGTTATAGCTCTCACCAGCACAGCTCACCGAATGACATCCGTCACCAGGACAGCTCACCGAATGACATCCGTCACCAGGACAGCTCACCGAATGACATCCGCCACCGGCACAGCTCACCGAATGACATCCGCCACCGGCACAGCTCACCGAATGACATCCGCCACCAACACAGCTCACCGAATGACATTCGCAAACGGCACAGCTCACCGAATGACATCCGCCACCGACACAGCTCACCGAATGACATTCGCAAACGGCACAGCTCACCGAATGACATCCGCCACCGACACAGCTCACCGAATGACATCCGCAAACGCCACAGCTCACCGAATGACATCCGCAAACGCCACAGCTCACCGAATGACATCCGCAAACGCCACAGCTCACCGAATGACATCCGCAAACGCCACAGCTCACCGAATGACATCCGCCACCGGCACAGCTCACCGAATGACATCCGCCACCGGCACAGCTCACAGAATGACATCCGCCGGGCATTGCCGAAGCCACGATCAGGATCAGAAGAGATAGTCTGACACCATCCAGCAGCCTACAGGTTCTCATGGATCCCACTGGAGACTGCTGCAAACATGATGGCTCCTATGTGAGAAGGTATCTCCGGAGATGACTCATCTCCTTTATACCATCCTCAGAGCCTCCTGCTGTGCCTCACCTGCTTCTCCCTCCTCTTTCACCTGCCACGTGTGTCCCTTTTGCCTGCGGACAGGCCCCCCTGAAAATTGCCACCGAAGACAAACGCCTTGTTTGCCTTGTGGTAAATACGCCCCTGGTCCCTAGTACATCACTGTCACCCATGCAGCACTGGGGCCTTGTACTCACTCAGCCACCAGGATTATTGGTTTGCTCTTTCTGATATTCCTCCCGGCTCTTCCTAGTGATGGAGATGTAGACTCATACCACCTCTGGACAACTTGGGCTCTCTGCCACTCTATCCCATAAGTTTTCTCCTAACCCTCTGGATTTTTGGGTGGGTTTTGTAAAAAGGCCCCTTAGCTAAGCCTAGCTGGGACCTTGGTGTCTTCAGGCTGGCTTCCGCCCCAGACTCCTGCCCAGGAGGGCAAGGCCCCTCAACAGGGGTCTCCTCCTGCAGGCTGCACTCAGGAACACACACATACTGCAATCTCCCCCTTGCTGCTCAGGTCTGAGAATATATATGGGTTCTTTCCCACCTTCTGGTTGCACTTTCCCAGGTTTTGGCTGAAGTTCCATAAATATTCAGGCTGCAGCATCTGCCTTCCCACTATGTTCCAGAACTCTCTAGAAGACAGGGGAAAGTAGCAGAGCAGCAGTCTGTGAAGCCCTGAGAAGTGCTAATCAATCAACCCCTACTCCTCTGATTATAGTGGAGCTAAAACTAAATGTGGCCCAGCAGCCTGCTTTAAGTAGGACAGTGCTACATCTATTGTGGCTCACCTAGGCAAGAATGACATATGCTCTTTCCTCCCAGAACCTGCGCAGACTGCCGCAGTTCTCTACTAGAAGTCTGACAGAGACATTTTTTTTTAATTTTCATATGTATTATTGCACTGCCATTCGCTGAGCTGTGTAGTCCGTTCCTGAGAGGTATATAGGGGAGTCCATAACAAACATGGCCGCATCACGGCCTGAGGAGCACATATGCTCTGAAAGCGCCTACTGGACAGCCTTGTCTTCACGTCCGATTCCGATTACATCCATTGGAGCCCACAACCTCCTTTCAGCCATCTCCTGTCTATATGCACCCTGCAGTGAAAGTTTCACAATGGCAACAACAGTAGATCAAGCCTGTGCAACGTCCATCAGGATGGCTGCTTGTAATCCCTATTGGGAGAGCGTGTGACAGGTGAGAAAGCCGCCGGGAATAATAGGGAGTAGTGTTGGGCTGAATGTTCGAGTCGAACCTAAGCAGTTTTTTTTTTTTTTATCTTTTTTGGGGTAGCGGTGTGCATGGTGATTGACGTTGGATCTACTTCGGGGGACATTTTTTTAATTTTTATTTTCAATAAAGGACTTGTCAAAAACTGTCTCCTGTGTTTTTACACTACACTTTTTTTTTGTTAATGGGTAGCGGTACCATGTACCCCTTACTCATGCACAAGGTGCTTTGGGGGGGAGCCCCCCGCCCCAAAGCACCCCTCCCTATGTTGAGGGCATGTGGCCTGGTATGGTTCAAGTGTTCGCTTGTCCCCCCCCTTTCCTGATCTGCTGGGATGCATGCTCAGATAAGGGTCTGGTATGGATTTCGGAGAAAGCCCCACTTCTTTTTTTTTTTTTTTTTTTTTTTTTTTTTTTTTTTTTAATTTTGGCATGGGGGTTCCCCTCCAAATCCATTCCAGACCCGAATGGCGGGGTATGGATGGGAGGGGGGATCCTCACATTTTTTTAAAAAAAAATTATTTCTTGGGCAATGCCGACCATTCTTTTTACATTCAGCTGTCAGTGGGGAATCAAACTGAAAGCTGAAACAATAATGGATGTTTCACTACTAAAATACTACATAACTTAATAATATAACTCGTGCAGTATTTTGGTAACTGAGTGGTATCTTATGGCATACTCAGATGCAGTAAGATGCTGCTCAGTAAATTGTTTGTGTTTGAACTTTGCGGTTGAACATTCTGTAGGTTCGAATGTTCGACCGTGAAACCGAACGGGGGGTGTCTGCCCATCACTAATAGGGAGGCAAGGACAGAGTGTTTTTACTGTATAAAAGGAAGTGCCTGAACAAGGAACTTCATGGCAGGATGACCAAATATTAATTAAACGGCAGATGTAGGCATGGTTCACACTGCTGTGACCATAAAGTGATGCAACTTCCAGTGTGAGTTTGCATTGAGATTTGATGCAACTTTCATATTTTGTGGACTTTGGTTTAAAGAAACCCTTGAAGTTGCAGTCAGATCTGCAAAGATATGATTACCTTACGATGTTTGTGATTTTATCATTGCAGTGTATGGCACTCATGTCGCACCAAAAAAAAAATAGTGCAGGAACTATTTTTTGTTGTTGTTGCTGTTACTTGATTTGCAGCAATTAAGACCGCGTCCATTGAAATTAATGTGCTCTTAATTTTCTTGCAACTTTCTAAGTCGCAGGTCATAGCAAGTCGCAGCAGAAGTCATTAAAAGTTTTGAAGTGAATGGATGAACAGTAAATATTTTACCTCCCAGAGGTCTCTGATCATCGTACGGTTCCATGTAACTTGTATCTTCCATTTCATCATGATCAAAAATACATTTGTTCTTCATATCAAATGGATTTGAGTAGTCACTGACTTCACTGACCTATGATATGAACAAGAAAAACTGATGAAGTTAGTTGTTCTTGTAAATACATTATTTATGAAAAAAAAATACTAAATATATATATTTAACTATATACATGTTGTTTTGAGCTTAACCATATCCATCAGTAAGGAAGCAGTAAGTACTATTTTTCTTGGCTATCCTATCTGTACCCAAATTTTTATGAAACATTTTTGCCGTTTGAAACAACTGTTAACCAACCCGTTCTAATTAGCACCTGACCTTTCCTCCAGGCTCTTCTTCTGAACCTAGATGAGGCTTCCTCTTATATTCTGATGGCTCCACCTTGATAAGACGGTGTCTAGGAGATACAATGAGTTGCAAATCATCAATCCTTGATGGAGAACCCAAGTGTCCCTTGTCATTGTTCTTCTCCTCATATGGATCCTCAAAATCCAGGTTTTTCTGAGCTCTGTAGGCACGAAGTATTTCACTCTCAGTGTAATCAGGCTTTGGAGGCTGTGGTGGAGACTTCTTGCTCCCAAAATGTAAGTAATCCTTCAGCCACCTTGCCATTGAGACTTGGTCTAGACAAAAAGAAGAGATAAAAGGTACATCTTGGGTACATTAGGTACATCTCTTCAATACATGCTCATATCCACACGTTTATCCCTACAGAAATTCTGCAAGTACAGAAGACCCATTGATCTGCCAGAAATACAGGGGGGCTCCTGATTTCTTGATAGGGATGACAACACAGTGTCTTTGCTGGACTGAAATCCCAACTAGTTAGGCTTGCCTGCTGGACTATAGAACACCACCTGTCCTGCACCTAAGCTTGCCCTACTCCACATGCATATATTAAAGTCAGTCCTAGGGAAACAATACTGCTGCCTTAACTCTAAAGAACCTGGCCACATACTGTGAAGGCAAAGGGCTTTTTACGAATTGTAGGGGGAGGGCTATGTTAAGTAACTGACATCCCAGCAAGTCTGGTGATAATGTCACAAGAGATAAAAAAAAAAGGTGTTTCTTGCTACAGGAACAAGAGGTAAGAGAAAACAATAGTGCTAAAAAAGATGAAGGTATGTGGGGTAGGGGGTACATTTGGTTAATAGCTGCATATACATTTTAGGGTTAATTTCAGTGAAATAAAGTCTGAAATATGAAGAGAACAGCTGTTATTTGGAGCATTCCCACGCAACTGTGTTATCCACCAATGACTGTATCAAAAGAAGAAGAAAAAGTAATAGTCAAGATATAAGAATTTTCTTCATTAGACTCAACAATATTTGGTGTTCCTGGAACCATACACTGTATCCACATCAGAAACATCACTATCTGCTACCTTTTATATTTTGTTTGGTCGCCCTTTTAAACATTCTATTGAATGACAGATGGCTTGACCCCCAGGCAGTTGGAACCATCATTCTACGTCCTCTAAGGCACCATAGATTAGGGCTTTTGTCACTAAATCTTTTTTTTTTTTTATTTGGAAGCTACAATGAAAGGTAGTAATTAGCCTCTACCACCATCTGTTTTAAGGTTAGAGTCACTGAGCCTTGCAGAGGTTAATTATCTCTATTACAGCACTTTATTACTGCTAACTACTAGAGATCTTTAAATGATCATTCCACCCAACACTGGTATTCTGGATAAAAGCTAGCACGGCATATCATCTGCCAACTTAAGGATTTTGAGCAAGGTTGGCAGGTAGCATCACTTACTATACCAACTTCTGTAATTTTGGTAAGGTTGGCAGGTAGTACCATCCACCACTTTCTTGATTTTGGGTAGGGTTGGCAGGTTGTATCACCTACCAACTTCTGGATTTTTTGTAGGGTTGGCAGCTTGTAGCATCTACCACTTTCTGGATTTTGGGTAGGGTTGGCAGGTTGTATCACCTACCAACTTCTGGATTTTGGGTAGGGTTGGCAGGTTGCATCACCTACCAACTTCTGGATTTTGGATAGGGTTGGCAGGTTGCATCACCTACCAACGTCTAGATTTTGGGTAAGGTTATGGCTAAATGGTTAGCACTCCTGCCTAGCAGCAAGTGGTTCGTCGGTTCAATTCCCAACCACAACACTACCTGCATGGAGTTTGCATGTTCTCTTTGTGCCTGCGTGGGGTTCAGGTTAATTAACTCCTGACTAAATTGGCCTTAGTATGGATGAATGTGAGTTAGAGACCTTAGATTGTAAACTCCTCTTGAGGGTGGGGACAGATGTGAAGGAGTAATAAATATGTGTAAAGTGCTGTGTAAGTACCTGTAATAATTACATTTTAAAAAAAGTAAGGTTGGCAGGTTGTATCACACAACCGACTTCTTGGTAGAAGCTGGCAGGTTATATCAGCTACCAGCTTCATCTGAGGAAAACTAAAAGGTAAGATTTCTGACCTTTTAGGGCTCAGTTCACATTAGTGCAACTTCAAAGTAGCGTGATCTGGAGTGCAACTTTGGATGGGTGAGACTTGGATGTGACTTTGGCTTTGTCCAATGATAATGGACAACTGTTGCACAACTGTCGCATGTATAACATTCAGGTGCAACTATCACATGACCTTTGAGGGTTTTCAATGCATGCAGTGGCACTCAAGTCACATGAAAGTTGGACAAAAGTAGTGCAGGAATCTTTTTAAAGATGTACATGTTCGAACAGTTGTCATTGAAAAACATGGGTGTGATTTTTAGTGTCCAAAGTCGCATGAACAGTTGTAGAAGTGTGAATAGAGTCTAAAAGAGAATTTAAAACATATAACAGGAAGAGTGACTTTTGTTTTATGTTAAAAAATTTCACAGAGGTAGAAATCCTTTTGTTTTAGCAGGAGGACTGAGAATTCATGCCAAGATTGTAGGGACTTTTAATCACAGAGATCACAAAGAATTTCTTGAAATAATTTACATTGTAGAACACAATGAACAATTCAGCTACCCAGTATCAACAACAAGTGAAAGATCAGTTTATCAGGAGAAAAGTCACAAATTTTTTAGAACATAATCCATAGTGATGCCACTCAAAGGTATATCTCGAACGTACAGTATTTTGTTTAGTTTTGAATTTTTTTGATTAGAGTGCGTTGACAACCTCTGTCAGTTTTGGGTTTTTTTTTGCTGTCGGCATCCATTTAAAGACATCCCCACTTAAAGTGGCTGTAAAGCCTTAAGGTTTTTTTTTTCTTTTAACTTTAATGCATTGTATGCAATACAGTAAAAAACCCTATATGGCCCCACCACCCTCCCTTGTACTTACTGAGCCCCCTCAAGATCCAGCAGCTGAAGCTCTCTTGGCTCTGTTCTTCCTCATAGGGAAGGATGATAATGGCTCCCGCTGCTGTCAATCAAACAGACTCTATTACAAGGGGGCGGGGGGGGGGGGGGCTGGCCATGCCCCATTGTCTGTGTCCATGGACACAGGCAGAGTGGATGGAGTCGAGCTTTCATGAGTACCCTCAGAGCAAGTGGCTTCCTATACGGACACTAGATAAAAAAGAAGAACCAGGAGCACCGCTGGGGGATCGGGGAAGAAGGGAATCGGGGCTGATGTGTGCAAAACCATTGCATAAAGCAGATAAGTATAACAGGCTTATTATTTTAATTTTTTAAAAGAAGTTTTACAATCACTTTAAGATGGCCATACAGAATTAGAATTTCCTTCAAATTTGTTTGGAATTCTGAAAAAATAATTCAACAGAGCATTTGATGTTCCCATCATTGAGTCAACATATTTTGTTCTAAAGTCCTTAAAATTTCATTCAATGGAATCCCAAATGTATTAAACAGATTTCTTTTATACCTAGGATATGTGCATAACAATATGTACTATTTTTCTAAATATAAACCAAATGCATAATTAGAAGTTTGCTTGTTCAGATAAGAAACAAGAAAAGAGTTTCTCCTTCGAAATTCTTTATCACTCTGATCAAAAACAAGTGCCGATTTTACCCTACTAACCATTAGAAAATTGAATGTTCCAAAAACTAAAATTTTTTAACAAAATTTTACTGGTGTATGGCTAGCTTAAGACAGTTGTTACCAGAACAGGTATCCTTATCAGAAGATTTCTCCTTTCCTCATTCTCTGGAAACAACTGGAAAAGTTGTGATTTCCATAATCCCTTTGTCCTGGTAACAATGGTAGGGAGAGGCTAAATCTTCCTAGGGGGAGAAAAAAAATTTCAACACTTTGACGCTCTATGCAAAATTAAGCTGCATATACACTAAGAAATTTGGGTGAACGATTGTCCGGTGTTCCTCAATGTTTCACAGCAAGTCAAACCTGAGGACTGTACTAATTGTATGGAAATTCTCTAACAAAGGCTTTTTTTTTGTTTTGACATAAAGTGTTATAGCGTATATAACACCCTTTAGATTAACTAGAGTTTGTTGTTTTTTTAGATAGAGGCTGAGTAGCAGCCTGGGAGAGAGGCAGGAGTTCACCTCAGGACAGGCTGAGTGGTTCTACAGGTAAGGGCTTCTGGAGTCCTCCCACCTTTCAAGAAAGTTGAGAACTTTCTGAAAGAGGGGAGGAGGAAAGATGAAAGCCAAGATCTGCATGTTTGAGGGACCCTGGCCATTCCCCAGGGCATGGTGACCAGGGCAACCCTCAAATATGACAGAGCCTGGGAGAGAGGGGAGTCGGGTGGAAGATGGATTGTGAGAAGGCTGAAGTGTGGAGCCTTGGAGGAGGCCCCCATGGAGGGGATCCTACCTACAGATTGGTTACTGGATGGGAGGATCTCCACTGCCTAAAGTTTCCTGGGGAAGACATCCTGAGCAGCAGGGAAAGAGCCAGCCTAGCAAAAGGCTTGAAAGCAGCTACCAATCCACCACACTAAGAGGACGGGACAGTGAGAGCACTTCTACACCCCCTGGGCTGGATATGGGGACAGGGAGGTCAGGAGCAATACCCAACTAGTGTTCACCTGGGACTGCTTAACTGCAAGCTCTTGGGACCCCCTTGCTCAAA